TTATCCCCAAGCCGACGGCGCTTCGCGCCGTGCGAGGGTACTAATTCCCCCGGCTATTTACACCCGGGGAAACGAAGCATTAGCGAAGTCTAAAGTTCATCAAATATCGCGGGCGTGGGTCACCAACCGTGGGTGGTCATCCTCACTGATCTCAAAAATATGGCGGACTGTCATGAATCACGAACACTTGTGATTCGTCCATTTTAAAGTTTGCATTATAACGACTGCATGACGACAGCGAAATAGCAAACATTTCTTGATTTGATGATTGATAAATTTCTTGCAAATATATTTCATTTTTGCTCGCATTTTTGCAAGATTTTGTAAATTTCGAGAAAGAAAGGGCGAAAGAATCAGCTAAACGAAGGGAGCCGACGTTAACGAAGGTAAGTTTGTTTTAAATATTGATTTTATTATAATGGCTTTAAAACCCGACGGCCTTTGCGTACTATATGAAGCAACTAAACAAGACAGCATATAATTTCGGTGTATCTTAATTGTAGACGAACAGTTATATAGCGGGCTCAGTAATTATGTACTGAAGGCTCAACAATACGGTTTCCTTACATATATAAACTAGATTATATTTATTTATCAGTGTGATAGCCGAGGTGTTGAAGTGAAGACATCAATTAATAAGGAACGTATTTATAAACGTTCGACATGGTGTCAGGTGTGGGATTTTCCACCTAAATCCTTTAACATTGATATCTATCTCCGAAAAGAGCTTATAGCTAGAAACGCGACGAAATGGCAGACTCGTTTAGAAAACCCAAACCACTGAGCTTCGAGGGAAACGTGGCAGAAAATTGGCATCGGTTTGAGCTAGAATTGGATATATTCTTGGCAGCAGCTCATCATGACAAAACGGAAAAGACGAAGGCATGCATCATGCCTAATATTGATGGGAGAGAAGCGATTGAAAAGGAAAGGTCGTTCGTGTATTCACCGGCTGTACGCAATGAAGCAAATGAAATAATCACACCGGCAGAGACGAAAGAAAGCATTGAAGTCCTCAAACGAAAATTTAAAGAAATCTGCAATCCACAGGGGAATGTAATCATGGAAAGACACAAGTTTAACGTAAGAAACCAGAGAGATGGTGAGTCTATTCAATCTTATGTTTCTGATCTCCGTATATTAGCCGATACATGTGAATACGGCACAATGAAAGATGAATTTATTCGTGACAAAATAGTGTGTGGTATTATATCGGACAGGGTTCGAAAGCAGTTACTAAAAGAAACGGCACTCACACTAGACAAAGCGGTTCAAATTTGTCAGTTAAACGAATTATCAGAAGATTACGGTAAACAACTTTCAAAACGCGAGTCAGACAAACAAGATGTAAATTACATTAAACCCAAAAAGCCATTAAGAAAGCAATCAACCATACTAAGTTGCAAAAGTTGCGGGGGCGAGCATAGAGCAGATAAACAAGCATGTCCTGCATTTGGAAAACAGTGTCATGGTTGCGGGAAGTCAAACCATTTCAAAAAAGTGTGTTATTCTGCAAAATTTTACCAAAAAGGTCCTATGAAAAAGGTCCTAATGAAAATTTCAAAAGCGTCCGGGTCGCATAGATGTCTCGCGTTGATGAAATATTAGCACCTAAGTATTCCCCCGAAGGAAGTGATAAAGAATTATACATTATTGAGACAATCGAAGGTCCACAGGTGGCGCACAATAACAAAGAAATTTATTGTACAACTAAAATCAATGGTCATAATGCGGAACTAAAAATTGATACGGGGGCAAGATGCAATGTGAGTTTATTTAAAAGGATTAAAGACGGTGAAATTATTAATAAATCAAAGTCAGTAGAGTTGGTAGCTTATGGGGGCTATACATTTTCAACTCTGGGTACTGTAGAGATGAATTGTCATATTAATTCAACAATACATAGGTTAGAATTTCAGATCGTGGATAAGCCTGTCGCATCACTTTTTGGCTTAGAGGATTCATTGAAAACGAATCTTATTAAGCTAAACGAACGCATTCACGAAGTTCAAGCAAGCAACGAGTTCAGAGACAGGGTTATGGAGAAGCACAAAGATCTTTTCGATGACAACCTTGGGGAATTACCAGTCGTTTACTCCATGAAAGTTGACAGCAACGTAACACCCGTAATAAACCCACCACGCAAAATACCAATCGCAATGGAAAAAAGGTGAAAAAAGAGCTTGACAACATGGTGGAGAAGAAGGTAATCGCCCCAGTCTCGGAGCAAACTGAGTGGGTATCGCAGATGGTAGCTACACGAAAGAAAAATGGCGAAACGCGCATTTGTCTAGATCCACGAAACCTGAATCTAGCTTTGAAGAGATCTCATTATCCAATGAGAACAGTCGAAAGTGTTGCTGCTCGTATGCCAGGTGCCACAGTGTTTTCTACCTTAGATGCAAAATCTGGATTTTGGCAGATTACGCTAAACGAGGAGTCATCGATGCTGACCACATTTGGTACACCATTTGGAAGATTTCGATATCTGCGAATGCCGTTTGGTATAAATATAGCATCAGATGTACTTCAAAGAACAATGGAACAGTTGTTCACCGGCTACCCTTGTGAGATCATTGTTGACGACATACTAATTTGGGGACGTGACATTGCTGAGCACGATTATAATCTCGAGAAAGTATTGCAGAGAGCAAAGAAAGTTAACCTCAAGCTAAGTACAAAGAAGTGCAAGTTCTGACTCAAAAGTGTTTCATACCTTGGGCACCGGTTCACAAAAGATGGTCTCAAGCCAGAAGAAGACAAGATAAAAGCAATCAAAGAAATGCCAGCTCCTGATGGTCCAAAGGCTTTACAAAGATTTCTTGGAATGGTGAATTACCTGCATAAATTCATCGATAATTTCAGTGAAAAAACTGCTCTACTCCGCCAGTTGCTGAACAAAGACACAAAGTGGTCCTGGGATGTACATTATCAAGTGGCTTTCGAGAAGCTCAAGAAAGAAATCAGCAACTCTCCAGTGCTAAAGTTCTTCAATCCTGCGAGACAAGTTGTTTTATCCGTCGATGCTTCCAAGAGTGGTTTAGGAGCAGTCTGTCTTCAAGACGGTTCTCCAGTGGCGCATGCTTCTCGTGTGATGACCGAAACGGAAAGTAGGTACGCACAAATCGAGAAAGAATTGTTGGCTGCAGTTTTCGCCTGCACAAAGTTTTATGATTTCACGTATGGCAACAAAGTTGCGATAGAAACCGATCATAAACCCCTTATCACGATCGTGAAGAAACCTCTACACGTAGCTCCAGCACGACTCCAACGGATGCTTCTGCAACTTCAGCGATATGACCTGGAATTTGTCTATAAGAGAGGAAGTGATCTATTCGTGGCAGATACCCTATCACGTGCTTATATTAGTAAGAAACCCAATCAAGAGAACCACGACGAGTTTGAAGTTATGTCGGTTGAATCCATATCACCTACAAGAATGGAAGGTTAAGGAAAATTACCTCTACAGATCCGACCATGCAGAAATTGGGTCAAGTCATTCGAAGCGGTTGGCCTGCGAAGTACCGAGAAGTACCGCGTGAACTAGCGGAATATTTTTCAGTAAGGGATGAGTTGGTGATCGATAACGGTGTAATTCTAAAGAGCCAAAGAGTGGTCGTCCCAGAAAGTCTGCGTCGTGTGTATATCGAACAGTTACATAGAGGACACCCTGGAGTAGAGGCAACAAAGAGAAGAGCAAGAGATGTGGTATATTGGCCAACGATGACGAAAGATATCGAGTATGTAATATCTTCGTGCAAACCGTGCAATAGTACCAAACCACACCAAACCAAAGAGCCCATGAAAAGTCATCCAACACCGAAGTTGCCATGGACACAAGTAAGCGCGGACATTTTTGAATGAAATGATTTGAAATATCTAGTAATTGTCGATGCGTACTCCGGATGGTTTGAAATTGACACCCTACGGAACATGTTGTCTAAGACCGTAATAACAAAAATGAAACGCCATTTTGCGGTTCACGGTGTTCCAGAATTGTTGATGACTGACAATGGCACCCAGTTTGTGAGTGAAGAATTCAAGTTATTTGCGAAAGATTGGAGTTTTAAGCACGTGACCAGTAGCCCAACATATCCTCAATCAAATGGTCTTGCAGAGAATGCAGTTAAACAAGCCAAGAAGCTATTAGAAAAATCTAAGAGGGATGGATCTGATCCTATACTTGGGTTGTTAAACCTAAGAAACACGCCTAGGGATGATAGTCTTGGTTCACCTGCACAGCGCCTTATGTCGAGAAGAACTCGAACAGTTCCTCCGATGTCAAATAAGCTTCTTAAACCAAACGTCATCCCATGCAAACAAGTGTCACAAAGGATACGTAGGAAACGAAAGCAACAGAAGACCTATTACGACAAAAGTGCCAAGACACTTGGAACTTTGAAAGCGAATCAAATTGTTAGAATGCAAACGACGAAAGGATATGATAGGATTGGCGTAGTTAAGCAAGTAGCAAAGGAACCACGGTCGTACATCGTCGAATCAAATGGAAAAGAGTATAGAATAAATCGAAGACATTTGCTTGCTGTACCAGAACCATATTATCATATCAAAGAAGAACCTGACGAACCAGATAGAAGCTAGCCTGCGTACAGGCTCTATGAATTGAATTAGAGCCTGCCGGTTTAGTCGATAAAAATACGTCTGTGCCCTTCACTATTTATAGTGTTGTCAATCAAATTAAAATTCAATTCAATTAATGCAGACACGCCTTATGTAAACAAAACGCAAATCTTGATTACTTTTTAATATAGTTTTGTATTTGAGCGAAAACTTTTAAAAGCACTTGTCTTTCTTTCAAACAACCCTGAAATTCCCTGAAGTAGCAATAGTAAGTGAGTTCACAGCACCGCAACGACTTGAATTTGAACAACTACGGCGTACTAGAATGCTCAAGAATGCAAATTATAGTCGCCTTTGTCTCACAGTGAAGATGCTATTGTTGATATAAGAACGTAGCCGTTGTATTTGCCAAACTCTCTTATACAGCAAAAACATCGTTTCCGTCCAGAATATTGTTAAGAGCTTTGACTCTGCACCCTTTAACTTTAAACAACAATTTAGTTTCTATACAACTCGTCTAGTACATTTTTATCGCTATAGAATGATATTTTTTACTTTGTGTCGACACTTTCAATCTATTGTTGTATAAATGTCATTACCGTTTATGGCAGTTAATAACCAACTACTCAATTTCAACCAATGGGAACCCTGCGTCGTTCTAAGCAACGCACAGACACGTTTTTATTAGCTAGGCCTGCAGGCTCTCTCTCAAATTTCAAAGAGAGCCTGTCCGCAGGCTAGATGGAAGCACACCATTTGAGAGTTCTCCACAACCAGTATCAAACCACCCTACAGTTAATGCGGTTCCCGATGAAAATTACGAAATTCCACAACAAGCAGCATCAATCCCAACACTCATATTACCACCAGGTCAATTTGTAACAAGATCCGGAAGAATTTCCAAACCAAATAGAAGATATCAAGATTATGTAGTGTGAACATTAAAGAAACATCTAATTAACATTATAGAACAATATTTATTTATTTAAAATAGTAGTCCAGAACATTAGAGGTTTGTTAATATCAGAACATCATCATTATATTATTAATAGTTATAATACATTATTATATATATATATATATATATATATATATATATATATATATATATATATATATATATATATATATATATATATATATATATATATATATATATATAAATATACATATGTTAGTTGTGTATATTAATATAATAATAACTATATTAATAATAACTATATTAATAATAACTATATTAATATAAACGAGTATGTTTATGACATTCAGTATATATTTCATAATTTCCAGTCTTAAATCCGTCTGACCGTGTAGCTCAGTAGGTAGAGCGTCGATCTAGTAATTCGAAGGTCGCGGGTTCGAGACCCAGCCGCGGCAGACAACATCTTTCTGCTTGCGCTGGGTATGGAAATTATATAATACACACTCTAGAACATTTTCATCTTAACATATTACAGAGTGTGCAATTACACAACTAACATATATATATATATATATATATATATATATATATATATATATATATATATATATATATATATATATATATATATATATATACTCAGCGGTGCAACGTGTCCGCGTTTTTATGCAAAAATATGCAGTTTACTGGCCAGAAGGCGGAGCAGCCAGCCAGCCAGTACAGCGTGTTTATTGGCCAGAAAATGTTATTGACTGGCTAGGAAAATGGCGGCCAACATGCGTAATGCGACATGCGCGAGGACAGAAACTTCAAAGCTTCCGACGTAAGTGGCCCTTCTATATGGATCTTTATTCTATGCT